CAGTACCATTAAACAGTGTGCATTTTCTGTTATTTTTTATGACAATCAATGTAAAAAGGTACAAACTAGCTTTTTTGGTTTGGTCGAGGCATCAAAAAGTGATGCTACAGGTTATATGCTTGCTTGAAGAAATCTCTATCCAGCCAGATTCCATTGTCCAATTTGGTTAGCTTCTCGTCTGATATTTGCAATGTCATGGTAGGCAACTTTAATTCATCATTTAGCAATTTAAAAAAAGATCTTCCTTATATTGTAGACATAAAGTGCTCCTGTCACATGATGCATCTAACAGCTTCAAAATTTTGCTTGTCTCTTCCAAATTATATTGAAGACACGCTGCGTAGCATTGGTTCCCATTTTAGGTTGGAGTTCTTCCCGCCAAGAAAGGCTCAAGGAATTTCAGATTTTTTTAAAACCGACATGCACGAGATTTTGTCTCCATCAGATATACGGTGGCTGTCTCTCGAGCAATGTATGAATCGCATTCTGGAGCAATTTGAATCTTTAAGGGCTTATATTAGGGAGCTGGTATTTGAAGAACTTTTTAAGATTTTTGATGACATCTTTCATAGTTTAGAAAATCCGTTTACAAAAGTATATCTGGAATTTATGAGCTACATCAAATCAAATCAAATCAAATCATTTATTGCATGTTAATAGATGCAAGTATCCTTACACAAAGTCATATTTTGTAAAATGCAAAATTATAAAATAAGCACAATAATTATCTAACAGTAATTTAAAGTACACAAAAAAACAATACATACACAATGTAAATGTTTTAACCTAGAACCACGCTATAACCCTTCACTGCTTTCTAAAAAATCAGTAACACTAATTCAGTAACATCATTGGCATATTAAACGAATTTAATAAGCTTTTCAAAGTGAAGTACCACTTTTATTTAAGCTGAAACCGGAAATATGCAACATTTTAAAAACCGTTTATAGTAATTATTTACAACCATCCTCTTTTCGCAACTCGAATATTTTAAAATTTAATCATAAAAATCCGAGAGATTTTGTACATCTGCACAAAATGTATTTAGGAATCTGAGTGCTCCTTAAATGAATTAAAATCGGATCAATTATTGAGATCCGGCATAGATGATTTGTTAAAATCAAGTTTAACATTTTATATTGAAATATGCACCGAAATTAAAAAACGGTTTGAATTTGAAGACAAAATCTTTGAGATTATAAAAGTGGTAGAACCTAGAAATGCACAAAACCTTGAGCCGAAATCTTTAACCAATGTTTTTAGAAGATTTCCGTTTCTTGATGGAATAATTAACCCACAAATTTTAGACAATTGTAGCATGTTTTTTAAACTTGCTACCTTTTTTGATAATAGCCCTTTCTCTTTTTATTAATTGTTTATAAATTTCTCTTAATTAAATATAATATTTAAATAGGGTAAACGCTGCCTAAAACCATTTTAAATTTACCGCTAAACTTTGACGCGGCGAATCTTTGAGAAGGAGGCTTCCCCTACCACTAGTATTCAAGGGATCGCGTTGTTTTGACGAGTTGGTTGGGCTTGATACATGTGCTTCCTGAACCTCTGCAAAAATTTCGATTTTTCGTTTAGCAGAAGTGCTAAAAAGTGTAGGTGAACAAGTTACTACTTACTTACTACCAAGGTAAGTGGAACTTTGGCAATGTTTTAGGTTATTTAAGGCATTATTTCTTCTATATTTACTGATTCAAACGGCTTCATTTCTGTTAGTAAGATAATTAAAGAGTGTTTACATTTACCCCAGATATTTTGCAACATGGGGCAAAAGTAAACATCATTTTGGGGTATATGTAAACACACTTTAAATACTTTTTCAATATTTCAGATGCCGCGAAAATATGTTCGCAAGACAAATGGGCCAGCATATACAAAAGAAGACCTCATTAATGCAGTCACATATGTCCAAAACCACAACAAAACTTACAGGCAGACACAGGAATATTATAATGTGCCTATAGCAGTAATTTCCTAAAGAATAAATGGACGCAAAACTTCCATGGACTCTACCGGTCCAGGTCGCAAAACAGCACTTTCTGCCCAGCTTGACGATCAGGTTGTGGAATGTTTGCTTGCTAGAGCGACAACAGGCTACCCTTGTGACAAGGAGGAGCTATTAAATCTTATTCAGGAGTATGTACAATCTCATAATTTAACAACACCTTTTGTTAATGGCAGGCCTAATGGCAGGCCTGGAGAAGATTGGCATTACCTGTTCCTACGAAGACACAATGGCAAATTGTAACCCTGAAGAATACTCCGTTATCAGACCTGAAAAATGGCGACTTTCTTCTTGTTATATTCACAGGGGGTAAAAGAAACACCACTATTCATAGATATGTATGTGCTGTAGAGAATGTTCAAGGAAGTGACACTGCAGTAGTTGCTCTCAAATCTATTGACGATACATATCAAAATGTTGCCATTAATCAAAGCGATGTAAGTTTTGTCCCTCAAGACCAAATATTAGGGGTTCTACCTGTTCCCATAATTAAGATGAAAGAAGAACGGATATTTTATCATTTTGAAAATAAAGTTCCTTGTATTCATTGGTGAAATGCTCTTACCTTAATTAAGATTTTGTTCGTATTGTTTGAAAAACGCTTACTTTTGCATTTAACGTAATGTTGATTTATTTTCTTTGTGTGATGTTTAACAGTATTAATTGTTACTGTAAATTTTGTTATAACTTAGTCATATGTTTTTATAAAATAAACGTGATATAAACTATTCCAATATGGAGTCTTTTTAAGCATATGTTTATAGGTATGTCATATTCCTCCAATAATTTTGGGGTAAATGTAAACACTGGCTTATAAGATTATTGTTTACCAATACCCCTTTTAAAAATGTATTTTCTTGAACCTGAAGATTTGTTTATTTGTGAAAGAAGTCGTAGATTTTTCTTTGTAATTTTAATCTTCATTTTAATAGAGTTTACAGTCTAAGCAATGCTCCGAAAAATATTTCGTTGTTAATTTTGGAACAGTAAAGCTATAATTTACAGATAAAATTGAAAAAAATATTAAACTTGCAAAAACCGTTTACTATTACCCCGGTTGACCCTATGCCTTTATAATTATTTTATATTTATTTAACAGCAGCGGGTGAGCTACGCAGTGTTGACAGTTTCTTTTCAATTTATCTTTCTAATATTTTTCCCCAAAATACATGTTTATTTGGTCAGTACGGCAACGCCGCTAACTTCCGTTTTCTAAATCTAATGAAAATTATTAAGAATCAGAATTAAAAAAGGCAAAAAAAACGTGAATGAAGAGAAATGACATTCTGGATTGTCAAATCTTTGGAGGTTCATTTTGGTCGATGATTGTTCTTTTCCTGGTCAGTACGGCAACGCCGCTAAATTCCGTTTTCTGATGTCATTTCTGGATTGTCAAATCTTTGGAGGTTCATTTTGGTCGATGATTGTTCTTTTCCCTCCGATCGCCATTTTGGCATGGCGATCGGGAGGAGATCGTCTTTTTTGGTGGAGCCCTTGCCTGTTGGTTCCTGTGGGCATTACCAGCGTAATTTTTAGATGCTGTTGAATAATTTTATAAATTTTCACAAGAATATCGGGTAAGTTAACTTATTCATGTTTTTTTTGCCTTTTTTAATTCTGATTCTTAATAATTTTCATTAGATTTGGATAACAATTTTGAATGGATCCAGTAATTTTTGTCAATTGTTAATGGCAGCTGGATAAGTTATTAGTTACAGTTGGGTTTTTAAAGTAATTTCAATATCTGTAATATTTCACTTAATTTAATTATATACTTTAATTACAAATTTAAATAATATTTTAACGTCACTTGATTTTCAAAATTTAAACCTATTTCATTTTTTTTATTGTTATAAAACAAACGTATATTATAATCAAGCATTAATTTTAATTAATATATTTAGATTTAGTAGACTAGAAACTGACTTGTTTTATTGCATGAATGAGGTTCCATCATGGCAAATATCTTTACCTAATAACAGTTTTCTGAATAGATTCAGTGGCGCTCATTTGGGCACAAACCTTACTCACACTATAATGCTCACCAGGCGAACAGCACCGTCGCCGTAATGTATTAATAAAATTATATTTTATTATTACGTTGCGTTATACAATGAGTGGCGACAACACTCATTGCTAGTCTTTGATTCACTTCAGCTTGATAAAAATTTAGAGCCGCAAGCATACTGGCAAAAAGTTTTTAGTTTAACTAATGCGGTGAATGAGCCCTTTACCGTTTTCAAATGCATCAGTGGAAAGATTGTTTAGAACACTAAAAAACATTAAAATTGATGATCGAAACTCTCTTAAAACCGAGATAATAAGAGCCTTAATGTTTTCAAAAGAAGAAATTGTAAGACAAGGAGGATGTGTTGAATTCACGCCCACGGCAAAAATGTTAAGGGCAAATCCTTGGCGGGGATAAAATTATTGTGATTAAGTTCCTATTTTTGTTATGATGGATTTGTTCTTATACTTAAGTAGGTACTTTTTAGCATCTACTTATTCCTAGTTAAGCATTTTAGTTCACTTAAAATTGCAGAACTACCATTTTAATTAGTTTAAATTTAATACACTCATCAGCAAGAGATGAGAAAGGAGGAGGGGGAGGAGTAACAACCTCGTTAAAAAACCAGAGTTCATCTGGCCCGGATGATAGTACTCTGTAAGGGCTCCTGCCTAGGACACAGGCAAAAAGGATCAATGGTCTGGAAGTTAGACGGAAAGCACATCCGCTGAGAAATCTACAGAAAGAGCAGATGAATCCTCCAAAGGGAAAACTGATCCCTATAGTCTGGTAAGACAAGCAGTATAAGGGAAGAAAACCCTGAAAGAAAATTACCCGGTCCTCCTGGAAGGGGGTTGGATCGCAGGGCTAGCTACCCGGCATCCTTAAAAAACATCAACTGCTAAAAATCCTTGCAAACCGCCTCGGAACCCAAACGTATCAACTGGAAAACGACCACCGCAACGAAATAGGACTATGAAAATTGGTATATGGAATACACAAAGTATTAGAGGAAAATTGGAAGAAGTAGTGAAAGAACTAAAAAAACTAAATATTGACATTGCGTCTTTGAGTGAAACAAAAAAGAAAGGACAAGGTATTGAACAGGTCGGAGATTATATACATGTTTACAGCGGAGTACCAAAAGAAAAACGGGCCTGTAAAGGAATTTCATTGCTGATCCACTCGAAATATAAAAAGTTTATAACTAACTGGACACCTGTAAACGAAAGAATTCTTACGGCTAACTTGAACCTTTTTGGATATAAACTGACAATTATTGGAACATACGGACCCAACGAGGATGAAGAAGTAGCTCTAAAAGATCAATATATGGAATTACTAAATCAAACAATCATAGACATTGGAAGTACCAGAGAAATTGTGTTGATTGGAGATCTTAATGCCAGAGTAGGACGAAGACTTAACCATCATACAGTTGGTAGACATGGTGAAGAAACAGAGAATGAAAATGGACGACGCTTAATTAATCTATGCGAACAACACGAATTAAAGATCATGAACGGATACTTTGCACACAGGGACATTCACAAGTTTACTTGGAGACAAGAAACAAGACACCTAAAATCAATTATTGACTACCTCATAGTGAAACAAAAAACTAATCTTAAAATTAATGATGTTAGAGCTTGCAGAGGTCCTGAGTGTGGAAGTGATCATTATTTAGTAAAAGGGGAGATAAGAATGCCATATAGGAGAGAAAATATAAATGAAGCAACAAAAACTAGCTCGACCAATACAATATAATAAATATAACCTGAACCGTCTATACGATGAAAGTACTAAGAAATTATATCAACAAAGACTAGATCAAAAATTGAGAGATGATTTTGAAAATGAAACGACAGAAATGATATATGAACACATAAAATCGGCAATAAATGCAGCCGCTATGGAGGCATAGGGAGAACAAACAGCATGCAACAACAACAAAAATTTTTGGTGGAATAATAACTTACAGGAGCAGAAAAACCAAAACAAAAATTGTACTTCAAATGGCTACAAACTAAACAAGATGCGGATTACTTAGCTTATAAACGCCAAAGAGCAAAATTTAAGAAGATAATTTTGGAAGAGAAGAATAACCAATGGGAAAAACGATGCCTAGAGTTAGAAAGCCACATAGGAGGAAGAAGAACATCAGAATCGTGGAAATTCATAAATTCCATTCGAAATAATAAGAAGACCAAGCTAAAACTTAATGTAATTGCGAAAGATAGCTGGAAGGAATATTTCGAAAAAAATGTTAAATGAACACAGAGATGAATATAAATTACAACCAGATGAACTACCATTTAATTTAGAAGGTGAAAAAATTAACATCGAATTAGATCAATTAAAAACGGCAATTACCCAACTTAAAAATAAAAGATCAGCCGGTCCAGGAGGAATCCCCAATGAATTAATAAAATGTGGCACACCAAAACTTCACAATATTATTAAAACACTTTGAAAATTGTATCAATGGTCAACATATACCACAGGAATGGAACGAAAGATGGATAACTCCAATACATAAAAAAGGCGCAATTAACATATGTGAGAATTATAGAGGTATTTCTGTTAACTGTTCATTGTATAGGCTCTATGGAAAAATACTTAGCACATTAATAACAAATGAATATGATCTGTACCAGACAGAAGAACAGTCGGGTTTCAGAGCTGGTCGCTCAACGGTAGATAATATTTTCTGCATAACACAACTAAGTGAGAAAGTGTTAGCTATAGGTGGAGAGATACACATGATTTTTGTAGACCTAACCAAAGCGTATGATTCTATCCCAATAAAACAACTTTTTCACGTACTCGACCGGTCACCAATAAATATTACCCTAATAAAAGCAATAAAAGAAATCTACAAGAACCCGCTAGCACGAGTTAAAATTGGAGCCGAACTCACAACATCATTTAATATAAGTAAGGGCCTCCGACAAGGATGTGGTCTATCTCCAGTTTTATTCAATATTTACTTAGATGCAGCATTGGAACAATGGAGACGAAAATGTAGTGGAATGGGCATACCACTCGAAAATAAAACAATATATACCATTCACTACGCCGACGATCAAGTAATACTGGCCCGAGATGTAGATGACATTGAGTACATGTTTAGAAAATTAAATGAGGAGTATGATAGATGGGGTTTACAAATAAATTTTAAAAAGACAGAATATCTATGCGTGGGCAACAAAGGACAAGACCTAGAAATGGAAAACGGAAACAAAATAAAATCATGTACAGAATTCACATACCTAGGTACTAACATACATAATAATGAAAAAAGCGACAATACCATCAATAATAGAATCAACAAAGCCAGAACATTACAGGGGCACTAAATTCTATTCTTTGGCAAAAAAATATAAATACCACAACAAAAACCCGCATATATGACACTATAGTTAAGAGCACACTTACTTATGACGCTGAAGTATGGCAGATGAGCAAGTCTATGGAAGGAAAGCTTTTAGCAACTGAAATGGAGTTCCTCAGAAGATCGGCAAGAAAAACAAAATTGGAAAAAGTGCGAAATGAAGAAATAAGAAGAATAACGAAGAAAGAGATAACCATCATAGAGGAAATCCAAAAAAAAACAATTAATCTGGTATGGGCATGTAAACAGAATGGGTGTTACGGTTCAAAATTTCACCGTAACTTATTTTACTTATTTTGCTTATTTTTAGGAATAAAACTAAAACTTACTTGAATAACTTGAATAATAACGTTTAATTAGCTTACTTCTTAACTGTACATATAACTTCTAATAATATCTTATCTATTAAGTCTCTTCACCACAACAATTTCTTGGGATGGAGTTGTCTCCGATAACTGTAATATAAAACCTCATTAATATAATATCAATTTGTCTGTTTAAAAGTACCTTTCTTTCTACAGTGGTTACTAATTCTTTATTTAGACTTATGCTTGTGTTAGGATATTTTCTTGGCATATTTCTTATTATGATTATCTTTTGTCTGTTTCAACGCATCAAGTGGGAATGTTGGGTCTACAATATACATATGGGTTAAGGATTTTATTATGTATTTTTCCTGTGTGTAATCCATTGATTTTACCTGATTATAGTTGATTTTCCCTAAATTTCATCTTGTTTATATTACGATTTACAGACTGACGTTTGAATTGTTTGTCAGCTGATCGTGTGACACCGGCGTTGAAGTTTGACAGATGGATATTTGTAAATTAGGTTTTCGATCTTTTTAAACGGTTTTTATATATGATCGGAAAATGTATTAATAATTTTCCGAAGATATTATGTTCGTATAGGGATTATTATAATTTTATTATGATGTAATAAAATGTTTCACTCAATCCGTATGCATTAAATAAAATTTTATGTCAAATTTTATATTGGGTCTTTTGTTTTACTGGTTGCCTGTGTTAGACTTTGGGTTGGTATCTTGGAGTCCAGCGTCTTTTGCGGATTTTGCAAACACGCGTCCTGTTTTTCTTCTACTTCGAACCGCCGTGGTAAACGCAGCATTTCTGATCCTGACTGACTGATAAAAACTCCATTGAAGTTTTTGGCCTTGCCTTGCCGTTCCGAATTGGGATTCTTTCTTTGGAGTTGTCTGGAATTCTATTGTGGGTCGAGAAGACTGGTTGTGCAGTTTTGGCACTAGTTGTGGGCGATTTTGGCCTGTGTGTGGTTCAGAATTCCAGAGAAGCCTTGTTGTTCACGCATCTCATTATTCTTTTTTTTTGTTTTCTTTAATTGTGTTTGGGTTTACAATATTTAATCATTTGTACAATATGAGTGATGTGCAAAAATAAGTAGTTTAATTTTTTGTTTATTTTTCTTTACATTATTCGATTATTAATTGTTTGGTTGAGAATGATCACATAAATCATTAAATTAAATTCAATTTCGTTTCAAAATTCAAACTCAGATGATTTCTCTATTGCCCAGTGCGCGCGATCATAGTGCGCGTACTACCAGAAGACATTCGCAATTCGGCCGGTGTGTAGAGAACAAGTCGCAAACACTAGTGCAGAGATCCGACACTGTTTCTATTTTTCTGGTACTATTTTTTCGCAACAACGTTACGTGCATCCGAAGAGTGTGGGCAAAAAAGGGTAAGTCATTTGAGTGCCCTGGTATATTTATTTCTCAATATTTTCGTTTTTTCAATTCTCTTTTCGTTCAATTTCGCAACACTTGTAGAGGGATATATTCGTCAGTTGGTAAGAGACATGTACAGTTGTGTAATGTTCTTTTGTACAACTATTTATTTTAGAGGACAGGATTTTACAACACGGACTGTGTGTGATGGTCGTACGAGATGAGTACGAGGACTTTTAAAGAACCCTTTTCCATGGAGTAACGTGTGGCGACGCCATTTTGTTTTGGAACGTCCACATGGTGGAAAGGTATTTTATTATGTCCAAATCAGAACATGTCACTAAAATAGATCATATTTTAGGGTTCTTCTTTTTCTTCTTTCTTTTCCTTGGCTGTTCATTCTTTAATAGAAAAAGAAGTAAAAAGGAACCTAAAATCCGGGCCCATATACACTCCCCATCAATACGTCACTATAATAAAAAACGCAAAAAATCCAAGCCGCCTTTCAATGTTCATGAACTCTCACACGAATGTTTCCTTGATATTAAAAAACTTCAATAGGATTTGGGATGTAATTTTAGGGAAGATTTGGTTGCGAAGGTTGTCCAAGGAAATGTTTTATCTTGGAATAAAATAAAAAGTCTTAAATTTATTAAAGACAAGCCATGCAGCTTTTTTTATGGGACATCTTATTCTGATGATTACACTGAAGTAGTTTTCAGATCTCAAAGGAGAAAAATGAAAGCCATCGAAAATTTACAATTGGGACTGGCTTATCCAACAAAACTTGAACTTCGTGAAAATAAGAAGAAAGACTTAAGAGATCTCGTTTCAAAAAATATAATACCAAGTTTTCGTTCCGATTTTTTTAACTCGATTTTGTAAAATTCGGTGTTTTTTTTAAATCATACTAAACTTGTAATAAGACTGGTTTATTTATAAGGGTTCCTATTGTTATACCAAAGTTTTACGAGTAGAATAAGAAATAAATTTTATTCTTTCAACGTTTATAGTTAACGAGTAGCATGAGGCTTTACCGGATTTATAAAAATATCATTTTTATACTGCTGAAATTATAAAATTTTGTTTTTGTGTATACTGTTGCTTACCTTAAAATTACTTTAGTATAATAGTACCCAGAATCATTTTAGAATTTAAATCTACAGAGGCACAATCATAAATATTATAATAACAAAATGATAGTTTTTACTAATAAAAAGTATCATTTCAAAATAAACATCGCAATAAAAGTCTGAAATTCAACGAAAACAAGCACATTTCTAAAAACGTTTTTGTTTATTTTGAAAAGTTTTAGAACTAAAGGGGCGCATCTGATTTTATCTAATTCTCAAAGCCACAAAATCCTCGATATCACTTTCATTGCGATAAACTTTAACTACCTCTTGTCTCGACTATATTAACAATCATAAAAAGAATTGCTTCGACATATCACACAAATGCTTTTCATAAAAATAACGTTTATGTTAGTCTTTCACCATTACACCAACAGTTTTTGTCATTTATAAGAAAACTGTACTTTTGGGATTATGCCTCTTTAGTACTAAGGGTACACAGGTAAATTCACTGCCTGAATCAGTACACAGATGAATCGGTGAATTTTGAAAACATTTTCAAGATTTTCAGCTACTTCTTTTGCCGTTTTTTA